TTTAAACAAAACTTTCTCAAATATTATACCATTACTCTTTTATTCTAGCTATATTTTATATATTTAAATAAAGTATTTAAATTAAAAAAACTTCAAAATCCAGCAACTGGGTTGAGTGGCAGGGAACCGCTTGCCACCACTTGACATGCACACAGTCACTTTTTCTTTTCTTTTTTTTTTTTTTTTTTTTTGATAAGGACAATGATTAGTAAGTTAGTATTGTTAGATGTTAGCAACTGGAGATTCGATCCTTAGATCTAGTAAACAACCCACCAACCTTAATGAGGTGCATGGCCATCAGGCCGGTTGGTGGAGTTCATGCACACAGTCGCTTGTTAATAAAGTCAAACACTACAGCTACATTTCAAAGGACTATGGTCAAAACGACGTAGTTTTGTTTTTTGGGCAAATATTTTTTACCTAGCAGGGCTTTGTTCAAAAAGTCGAGCTTGGTCATTGTTCGGGCCATGTTTTTGTCCAATGTTACTTCAACTTGTGCTCTGTTCTATTTTGAAAAAGAACCATGCAAGAGAGCTCCTATTGGAGATGCTCTTAAGTTCACTTTTTGTTAATTGGGCTGAGGTGGCAAGTTAAGTTTTAAAAGGTCAATGTACATTTTTATAGGAAAATAATTGAGGGATAATCCTTTTATAAAAATTATTTTATATAACTTTATATGGTACTTAATGTTTGATTCTTTTCATTTTACTTGAACTCTTGATAATGTATGTATTGATAATTTATTTAATGATATATAAAAATTATGTAAAAAACAATCCACATATCATTATCTCTTTTATATTAAATGGAATTTATTTTGTTCATGTGGTAATTTTTACACCAAAATAATTTAAAAATATAATAAAATGATGAGGAGAAGGCTCTTTTTTAATGAATGACACAAAAAAATAAAAATGAAATTAGAAATGTTGCCATTTTTGGGAGTTTCTATATAGATTTTCCTAATGTATCTCTTCGAGTTTTGCTTATGACAGAAATGAAAGATGACATGGAATTGAGATTGGATTGAATTGAATTAATTATAACACTTAAGTAAATTATTAATAACATATTCAAGAATTAAGGTCCTCAACTAATTGTTTCACCCAAGAGACTCGTTAGTTGTACAACAATTAAAACAACATGCTTCACTTTTAGCATCCAAGTTGTTAATAAGAGAAAACCCCTTCCTTCCTCTAATTTTTTATTATCTAAATGAGGACATTTTTTCCCTCCCTCCTTTCCTATCCTCTCAAACCAAAAAAATTATTAAAGTTAAAATTTAGTCAATACCTGTTATGGGATAATTTATAAATAACTGTAAGATTATTCAAGACAAAAACTCAAATCTCCGTATATTTAAGAAAATTATCAATAACAACATAGTATATGCATAAATAGGGAGTACAAAGGTGCATCTGCGAATTATAATACTATGATAGCAATAAGTAACAAAGAATATTCCTTTATGTATCGAAGAGGATGGTGAGATCAAACATCATTGTGCCTCTTTATCCACTAGCCATGGGAAGTACTTGTATAATATTGCTGTGTATGTCTAGCGATGTGATAAGATAGAGAATCAATAATATGGATGTGTGTTGTAGCATTGTTTTATTGAGGTAAGTGCCACTAGTCGATGATACTTGTCAACACATAAAAATATGAAAGAAATATATTGTAAATTGGGATTACAGACAATAGGTAATTTTTCCCGTTTGTGTAGAAAGAATAACTATGTGCATGATTGTTGGTCATGTTAAATATCACTAGGTTAGCCAAGAATAGCTTCCTCATAGTCAGAAGGACAACAATGGCTAGTTTTGCCCATGGCTAAAGCATGAATTATGTGAAACAAAGGAAGTGCATTCCCCGTAATTCGCTAAGTCACGAAGGGATAAATCTCGTTAATCCAAAACTCTAGCATAGCGATGAATATAATAAAAATGGGTGAAGTTTTATCTATGGAAGTGGGATGCTAGCCATATCCATAGCCTACGATACAAACAAGGTATGATACCACAATGAAACGATGGCCCTTCTTGTTGTACTCGCATCATTAGAGGATGGTCTTAGTTGTTTTTGCCTGCTAGGCAACACACCACCATGCATGGGCAACCACCAAGGAGCTGTCAACCACAACTTAATGGGTTTTTATTGCTAGAGGGTAGCCACCCAACCAATTGCAAGGTTTAACTCTTACTGGCCTCATGCTAATCATATTAAGTTGTGCTAACTCTATTTGTTTCTGAGAGCCAGTAAAATAAAATATGCACAGAGAAATCTGACCATTTATTTGTTTTTGATAACTAGTGTAATAAAAATGTGTAGAGATATATAGCTTTTTTCTCATTTCTAGAGGCTAAGTAAGATAGCAAATATGGTCTTTTATCCATCACTGAGAGCTGTGTAGATGTAATAAAATCAACTTGTTTTTGTTTGATAGGAGCAATGTAGATGCAGCAAGATAGGCTCTTTATCCATTGTTGGGAGCCCATAAGATGTAGCAGCAAATGTTGCAATAAAAATCATGACCATCACAGATGTCTAACCATGTTGTAAAGATAGATGTAGCCAAGCCTAGCTATGTATATGAGAAAAATGTTGAAGTAGATCATATTTATAGTATTCCTAACGAAGTGGGTAAGCATCGCTTCTTGTGATGTTGAGTTTATTGTGGCCGTTAATAGAAAATAAAATATAGCATATTTGAGGTGGAAATAAATCATATGGGCCCTTCTTAGTCACAAGTCCAAACCTGATCTTGGTGACGTGGTATTGCATATATTCTGAATCCCAAAGTAATACAAATTCATCCTTCAACACATAGATTATAGTTCTAAAGGTTTCACAAAAATAAAGATTTATAAATTCTGATAGAGAAAAGGGAATTATGTGCAAAACTTTTAGATTTCATGGATTTCAATCATTTCAATTTTGTAAAAAAAAAAAAAAGTAAGTAAAAAAGAGGGCATGAGATGAAAGTAAGGTAAAACCCTTAAATCTACCCTTGGAATAGGAGGGTAGGAAAGATCCAAAATGTGAAAGGTTGGAGAGACAGCAATGGAACTTGGGTTTGTTTTCATCTCAACGTTCATAGTCTGTTCTAGATTTGTGTGCTTTAATTAAATTAATTGATAAAGTTTATTCAAGTGGGTTAATGAAGGACATGTGAAGTCATTAAATTATGGAAGTGGGTGTGTTTTGATTATTTTTTGGTTGTGATTGCGTGGACCCTCTAAATTTTTGTGGTTTTGAGGCGGTGAGATTTGGAAAATTGGAGAAATTATTTGCTTTGCACACTAGATGTTCTGATAAATGCCTAAGAGAATGTATAGGCTGGTTGCCTTTGACATGCTTTTTTTTTTTTTCCTTAGATTTTGATGCAGTTATACAGAAGTTTAATGCTCTCCTTGGTTGATTGGATAGATGGGATTTGACATGTATGCTGTTACACTACAATGTAGTTATGATAATGTCTGCTATCTCATGAGAAATTGCAACATCTTAATCTGTTTCTTAAAAAATCCCACTATAACATGACATCATCAGATTAAGTGCTATTTGTGTTGTAAACTTATTTAAATTATGTATATGCATTAAATTTCTTGATTTTTAGTACTTGATACATCTTGTGTTCTATCAAAAAGAGTAAAAAATAAAAATCAAGGAGATGGTATTTTTAGGCTTTGCATGTAGTGGATGTATTTTAAAATTCGAATGATATGTTTGGTGTTACACATGATTTCAAGAGACAAAAAGAGGATTTTAGTTTTACTTTGTCGAATTCAAAATCAAATTAATGAGATTGTATAAGATTCAATCATTATATTTATAATTCATGATATTTAAATTTATTTTGTTAAGAATAATCTAAATACTGTAATTGAAAATACATGTGTTTAAATTATATGTATTTTAAATACATATAATTAAAATACATACTCAAATTTAAATATGAGTTGTTAAATGTAATTTTAATGATTTTATGAGGTACATAATCAACAATTAAAATTTTTTTTCTATTTAGACATAGAACTTGTTAGATGTGTATACCTATATATATTTGGCTAAAATCAACTTTTAGTCCCTCACCTTACAAAATTAATAAATTTTAGGCCTTAACTTTATAATATAATATTTTTAGCCTTTTATCTTACAAAGTTGATAGGTTTAACCTCTCATCTTACAAAGTTGGTAGGTTTTAACCTCTCACCTTATACTATGACACTTTTAGTCCCTTATCTATATGAATTAAAGAAAATAACCCTCACTTAACATCATGTTATAATATTCTGTTAGTTCTATTAGTTGACTGTAAATTCTACTAACTGACTATAAATTCTGTTAACTGATTGTTAGTTTTGTTAACTGACTGCTAATATTTGTTAGCATTCCGTTAATAAAACTAACAAATAAAATTGAATTTAAATTTAATGTTTTCTATAATGGAATGCTAACAGATGTTAACAGTTAGTTAACAGAACTATAGAACATTATAACCTGATGTTAGGTGAGGGTTATTTTTTTTCAATTTGTATAGGTGAGGGGCTAAAAATGTCATAATATAAGGTGAAAAGTTAATACCTACCAATTTTATAAGGTGAGGAATTAAAACCTACCAACTTTATAAGGTAAAAGGCTAAAAGTGTTATATTATAAGTTAAGGAGTTAAAACCTACCCACTTTATAAGGTAAGAGGCTAGATGTTGGTTTTTGCCTATATATTTTAGGAGCATCACATTATATTTGATTGGCTCTTGCCTTAAAATTTGTGCCTAAATTTTACATTTCGCAGCTCGAGTCATATTATCTCAACTTACGGGTTACTTGATAAAACCTTTTTGAGTTTGAGACCAACCAAACACGCCCCTAGTTAGGCTTTTATTGAAAAAATATCTGGGCAAGTTAAACCATTTTTGGTTTTCGTTCTGCTTGAATGGTTTTTTTTTTTTTTCTACATTAAAGGATTAGTTATTTAATATTATAGAGAATTAAATTTTTTATCATAATTTTAGATTAAAAATTTTAAATTAACAAATATTAATTTAATTAAACTCTTAATAGTTCTATTTGAAAAATAATTATTTAAAGCCAATGAGACATAATTGATTATAATATAATCAAACTTTAAGACTAAATTAGAGATTTTTTAAGTTAAGGGACTCAATCAGGGGTCCATATGAAAGTTGAGAGACCAAAATGGAGTTTAACCATAATTGAATGTATACAATAAACCATTTTTGCACAACATAAATCATCAAGCCCAGCAGCAGGGTAAATTTAATATTCCCATATTTTGCAGCAACCGAACGCAGTCTAATGTTTCACGCTTATTGGGGAATAGCTGCTGATGCTCGGAAACAGCTTCTCGTTCAAGCAGTTTACAGCCTCCAACTTTAGCATCAGATCAGCCACCATCAATCTTTTTCTGCAAAACCCTTCAATATTCCAACACAAACCCCAGAATCGCAAAGTCCCCGAGCTCATTTCTCTATGGCGAGTCCCGCAGCGCCAGTTTCAGTCCACAGACCCACCATAACTCACATAATCTTCGACATGGACGGTCTCTTGCTGGGTAATTGTCTCGCAAGCTTTTCTTTTTCAGAATCTTCTTGTTTCGTGTCTGTAGTTGCATTACTCTTCATTATTTTTTTGCGTGAGTTTGTTTGATACACTTCAGATCTGTGTTTTTCGCAATCAAGTTGAGTCCTGGAATTGCAGGTTAGGCCTAATTGGATTTATGCTAAGTGAGTTTACTAAGAAATCACTGAACACAAGCTCCAATGACTAATGGCATAGGTTCTAATTTATGCTAGAACTTTGAAGGGTGATGAGGTGAACATCCAAGATATTTTTTTTAAAAAAATTTGGTTAATGGGGTTGATTTATATTTAGGTTTCAGTCACAGAGTCTGTTTAGAGGAACTTCAGAGAACGTAAGTGCTAGGATTTGTAAATATAGAATGGGTGAATAAGTGTATTATCTAGAATATCTATGCAATTCAATCCGAAGGAGAAGCCTTTCTTCACTGACATGCAGAATTTATTCTCATAGATGAAAATTTTCAAATTTTATGAGGAACATTTAATCTAATGTGATATGGTTATGCTGCAGACACCGAGAAGTTCTACACTGAAGTCCAGGAAATCATACTAGCAAGATATAACAAGTCTTTTGATTGGTCTCTTAAGGCAAAAATGATGTGAAAGAAAGCAATAGAATCTGCTCGGATCTTTGTTGAAGAGACTGGGATCAGTGATTCACTTTCAGCTGAGGATTTTCTTGTACAAAGAGAGGAGATGCTGCAGAAATTGTTTCCATCAAGCGAGCTCATGCCAGGTATTAATATTTATTTTAAGGCGTTGTATCCATCCTTTAATTATTTTCCACAAGAATGTTGTACGTACAAGTTCTAGGAAATAATAATTAATCCAAAGGCAAGGATCAAGAGTACTTTATAATTGTTTGCTGAAAAATACAAATTTTCTTAAGTTTAAATGATATTATGTAGTTTTACCCATATTGATTGTTGATATTTATTTGCCAAAAAGAGCAAACAAGGCAGAAACATCTTAAGTAAATTAGTAATTTATATCAGTGACTTTTAGTGTTTTTATTTGGTAGCTGATTCTTTTTCCTCTCCCAGCAAACATCATTGTGGCTTGAAGGAGTGATTATGAATGAATTTATGATGACAATTTGTAAGAATGGCTTTTTCTTTCTCATCACTTGCTTGAATATTAAGGGGGTCCCTCTGCATGACTATTCCATGTCAAATTTGAGCTTCTTTTATAGCTTCTCCAATCAACATCTACATACGGTTACTGATTTATTCAATTTCTTCATTTATCTCAGAAAGTGTCATTCCAATCAAATAACTCAGTTTCTGCAGAACAGCTTTTCTTTTATACTGCCCCCAAATCCATATGAGCATTTTTTTTTTCTCTTGGAGAAGTTGCTAGTTGATATATGACTTGTTGCACAAGATGAAATTTCCTGGCCAGGGATTCAAGATTTCACATGACTATCCACCAAACCAAATGATGAAAGATGATTAATTTTGTAGGATTCTTAGATTCAGCCCTTTTTATTAGTGGAAACTAGAAAGGTATACTTCTTTGTGAGGACATTTTGACATATAAATTGAATAGGGGAAGTGGAATGCAAAGAAGTTCTTGCAAGTCTTCTGATGTTCAAATTGAAGCTGACATTTAAGGGTCCAAAATTTGGTCTTGCGTGTGGTTGCTTCCTTAAAATACTCCCAGACAATACTTATGGCTAAAGGGGCGGTGGGCTCAAGGGTGGTTTCAGCACTAGCAGACAATTGAAATCTGGAACCTACCTTCTAAATAATGGCCAAGATTTTAAAACTGTAATCTTTTGCACAATGTTCAGTGCTAGTTCTCAAAACTAAAAGTGCAAGGCTGGTTCTGACCGGCTCTAGACTAAAAATGAAAGGTATTTGATGGTTGTGTATGAGTAAATTTGGGAAAGAAAAAGAAGAGGTCAACTTTGGTATTTTGTTTTTAGTTTATTGTTACTGGAAATGATTCGTAAGTAATACTCTCTTGTAAATCTTTTCCCTATTTTAGGGGCTAGCTGTTTGATTAAACATCTTCATGCGAAAGGAATACCATTTGCCTTGGCAACAGGGTAAGTTTCTGTTTTTCCCTCTTAATTGTTGGTTTTGGTTTCTTAAATCAGAAATAAAGTTGGCTAACATATTTCTTAGTGTCCTTTACTATCCTTTTCTTCACCTGATTAGACATGTTTCTTTGGACATTTAAGTTTCATAAGCATTACGTATGTTACTGTAGTTTTGCAGAAGTCACAGGCGGCATTTTGAGCTAAAAACAAAAAGACATGGTGAGCTTTTCAAATTGATGCATCATATAGTCCTTGGTGATGATCCGGAAGATAAAAAAGGCAAGCCAGCACCAGATGTATCTCTAGCTGCTGCTGGAAGATTTGAGGTATAAATATCTAAGTTCTTTTACAATAATACTAGGTCTCACCTTCTTCCAAATCTTTGACATTGGAAGGGAATTGTTCATTGGATTTTGCAAGAGACTTAAAATGTCAAAGAGGATTTTGAGTGAGCATGTTCACTTCCACAGCTTCAACTCTTTCAACTCCCCTGCTTAGCTTTCTACCCCTGTGAGAGGATTTTCTTAATTTTCTTTAGTTCTATAAACAAACAAGGTCAAGGGTCTTGTTGCTTTGATTTACTTCATTTCAGTATTAGCCACATGTTAAATATCAAGCTTTATGGTGGCTTATGAGAACTCTTAAATTCACAGGGTGGACCAGTGGATTCACATAAGATACTTGTATTTGAAGATGCACCTTTAGGAGTTCTTGCAGCCAAGAATGCTGGGATGTAAAGTGCACTTATTTTAGTAAATTTTACATGTAAATCACAATAAATCACCATTCTGTGTTGTTTCATGTAGTGAACTATTACATTTATAGCACACCATCTCATTATTTGTCCTTTCTCGTACTGTGAGGTTCAAATCCTCCCAAGCAAAAAGGGTGTTTTTTTTTTTTTGGGATTAAAGCCTAAGGATGATGTATATTTCTGAGAAAGAGGGCGCCCATCTCCTTTCTTTTCTTACTACACGGTACACAACGGTTTGACTTCAGAATTCCTTTGCTTACTATTTCCCTGTTTTATTTGAACCATGTAGGTCAGTAGTTATGGTTCCAGATCCACAGCCTGATAACTCTCACCATGATGCAGCAGACCAAGTTCTGAGCTCCCTTTTGGATTTCAACCCAAGAGAATGGGGTTTGCCTCCATTTGAAGATGGAGAAAGCTAAACAGGTACACCGTTTGCAGTGGTTATTTGAGTGGCTCTTTTCCCCTAGCCCCAAACTGAAGAAGCATTCTTTCTGTATTTTGTCTGATTGAACGCTATAGGCGAACACCTTGACATTTGATGCATTGGTTGCCATGCATTATTTACATTACATTTCTAAATTATGGTATGGATGCTTAATAATTATGATAATTTAGGAAAGTTTAATCAGTTATCCCCTGTTCTCAACACTTGGAAGTTCAAACCTTCCAAAGGGCAAGTTCTAAATTTCATGTCAGTAAATTCGGTACTTACTGCACACAAGCACGGATCATGAGGAAAAATTCTCGAGAAAAAAGATCTTTTATTCATACAAGGAAACAGAGAATACATATTCAACTTAGCAGTTGGAACTTCGTTTTACACTAATTTCACAAAACTTTCAATTCCTTTGCCTCTGCAATCCACAAATAATGCCAAAATCCCAAGCAGCTATGCTTCTCCTCCTCTCTTCCTCTCGTTTCTTTTCACTGGCAGTATTCGTATTCTCTTTGCCACTCGTACAAAATCCCTACATATTTCACACAAACAACAACAATTATTGGTTAAAATAATGCTTAAAATTTGAGACATTCAAGTTGTAGTTAGCCTTTTAGGTATGAACTTAAATCAGGTGCAGCCACCGGTGGTGTCTGTATATCATAAAGAATTTTAAAAACCTTAAAATGGGCGTTTTAATACTACACGCACTTCCAATGGAGGTCGCCGGCAAGTAGAAGATCATTTTCCATGTCTTCATAGGCGATGAGGTGACCGGGAATAGCATTAGAAAGGTCGAGATTGTTTTCCAAAGTGCTTCCATCTTCAGTCCCCTCCACGAACATCTGGCGCAGAGCCTCGGCCAGACTTTGGTAGCTGGAATGCTTATGAAGACTGATGCGTTGGCAGATTGAACGGCCCTCAAGCACCACTGTCACTGGCGGGACCAGGCTTGATACAGGATCGTCAACCTCCATCAAGCCAGCGGGGAAACTCTGAGGCCTGTTAGGATTAACAGAAGATGACGAAGCAGCAGCAGCAGTAGTAGTAGCACTGACAAATCCATGGTTGATGTTGTTGTTGGGGAATCTCCTATCTCGCCATGATTTCCTTTGAGAATCAAAACTATTCATGGTGTTTTCTCTGTGTGTGTGTGTGTTTCTATCTCTTCCTCTTTGATGAAGAGTTGAAGAGAAGGAATTATATATGGAGTACTGAGTGTGGGTTGTACTTTCGGAACTGAAAAGGGATTGGATTTGTGTAAGAAATGAATATGAAGAAAGTGAAAAGATGAGTGGGTTTTTAAGACCGTCGCAGCAGTGATTAAAGGAGGGATTGATTGTGGTTTTGACGTAAGAAGAGACAAATAGGGGAGAGAAGCACAAATGTCGGGAGGGTGAGGCACGCACCTTGAAACGACCCTAACCCCTCTGTGTTCTGTCGGTTCCCTTCTTTTTTCAAAACGTTATTTAATGAGATACGTACTACCATGAAGTATGATGTTTTTCAATGTGAAGATGGAATGGGAAATTAATGTGATATACAAACCATTGAAAAATGAGAAATGCAAAATTCTTTAATGTAAGCTGGATATAATATCATTGATATCTCTATATTAATAATAACTTGATAT